ACGAATCGGCAATTCGATCGATCGATCGCTAGAAAACTATTTGTCATGGAAAAGATATTTTTCTCCGCGACAACGAAATCAATCGTTTGTAATCAGTGAAAATCTCATTTGCGGAGGATAATCACGAGGACACGAGTAAAGTGAAAGAGTTGGTATACGGTGACGGAGACGGAGACGGAGAACAGAGCGAAGAAGGGAGCAGCGAGAGAAAGACGTCGCGAAGCAGAGAAGGAACGCCTCAGTCGTGGGAGCACGCCTGCCTCTTTCGTTTCTTTTTGATCTGCTTCGGTCTCGGGATACCACCGCTGTCTCCTGCCTCAGTCGAGACTCGGTGAGCTCGAGGTGCTCCTCGGAATGGAGCCCTGCTCTCCTCGCCCTTTCCTTCCCTCCCTCGGCTCTCCCAATCTGGACCAAACAGGAAGGAAGCGAAGATTCCGTTTCGTTGGTCATTTTGGAATTTTCTAAAATTTCGCTGCAAACATGTTATTAATATTCGTCATCTTTTTGAACGTTAAATAATCGATTTAAAGTGTCTCGTTAGTTCGATTCTTCAGTTCACGCGCGTGTATATGTCGACAATGAGTTCGCGCTACTATCGATCGCAATGTTGGATCCCTGCTGAGTTTGTTGTTCGATCTGCTTTAATTTCAATGACGAACGATTCGGGTATTTACTGCTCAATGTCGTCCTCGTGTTTGGTTACTAACAAATAATGTTTTTTATGTCTTGAAGTGTAAGGTGCTATGTATCGCGAGAGGTGTCAGTTGGAGAGAAACACCGAATAATTTAGGTGCTGGTGCAGTGAATAATTGTAAAGATTTTGTACAATTTTTAGGAAGTATTCTATTTCGACTATAGCAATTGTCGGTGATCGTTGAATAACTTGGTGTATGAATCCTATGAGTTCTAAAAACGGTAGATATCTCGCGAAACCATTTGAAACTGATATTTCGGAACATTTGGAACGTCAGACGTAAACAATGAGAAACAACCGTGACTAACGCATCCTGAAGATAATTTTCGTACTTTTGATTGGACACGAGTCTGGACACTTGAGTTGATGAAATATTGCAAGATAATAAACGGCGTGTTTTTCAGAAATTGCTTCGCAATAATATGGTACGTGGAAGGTGATGCATGTTTAATAGAACGGATAAAAGCAACGTATATCAACTACTGGTGTCAGATTATTATCAAGCGGGTAGCAGATAGCGTTGCGAACGCGACCCTACTTTTACCCGTGTAAAAACTCGATTCAAAGTGGATTTTCACAACTAAACTCACGAGTTACTTTACGAAAGTTCGTTTCGGCGGGAAAAAAGAGCGCCTGAATCAGTTCGTGAGACCGGATGATCCCGTAGCTGGAAGAAGGGATAATTAACCCGCGTGAAAGCGAGAGGACAAAAACGAGAAAACACAGACCGAGAAGAACTGTCGGCGCCTTTTTCCATCGAGATGCCTCTAAACAAGGTCGACGAAGAGTCCCTGAGAGCGCATCACTTGCTTCACAGGTCGTGTCGCGGTAAGGCTCACGGGAATGGCATAGCGAAACAAAGCAATCGTCGCGCGACTATCTGCTGTCCTGTTACCAGGTTCCCAAAAGACCGGAACTCCGTTACATTGGACGAAACTTCGGTCGTAGCAAACGTGGCGACAAAATTGTCTAACAGAAGAATCAACAGAACTGGCACCAGTTCTTGGGAATGCAGCGACAGCGACAGCTTGCATTCTTCAGAAGCTGGACGCGAGAACGTGATCACGACCACAAATAACAATGATCGTTCGCCATCGGAAAATGCATCTGTTCGTACCACTGTCAAGTCACCTAATGTTTCAAGCACGAAGAAGAAAACTAACAGGAACCTGCACGTATCCCCCTCGTTATCGAAAACATCAACGAAATGCAATAGAAAGGAGAACTGGGCAGACACGTTGAGGGTGAATTCGATCGATGATAGGATCAAACGGATGGAAGAGGGTTGGGACGACAGCAACGTGATCAAGACACCTAGAGAGCGCAAGTGGAGGAGGATCACAGCGGAGATCGAGCAGAGGGTGCCTAATGGGAAGTCTGGTGACTTTAGGATCCGCGGTCTGAGAGGATCGTCGTTGAAAGGATGGAACAATGGCTCGCAGAAGAGGAACCGGAAGAGCGCGGCGTTTCAAAGAAATTCGAAACCGATCGAGGACATTATCGAATGGGATGAGATCGTGGAGATGGCTCTGGCGAAGAAGATAGGCCATGCAAAGGGCAAGAGAAGACGGAACGGCGAAGATGCGGTGGACGAGGGCTCGGATCGTCCAAGGGTTGAGGGTGAAACGGTGAACAGCGCGGGGGAGTGCATGAAACGCCTCGAGGTGCTTCTGCAAAATAAACTACCGCCGCAAACAGTCGAGGTATGTCATTATCGACACGCCTTCGGAAATGAGAGTTACAGCGGCTCTGTCTCTCTTTCTCGATGCATGCTATGCGAGGGATTGGGTGAGCCGCGTATGAAAATTATGGTTGCGCAGCTATAGGGAATTCGTAGAGCCGATGAATGCGGCTATTCATGACCGGTAAATTGGATGTTTCGTTGGCGGCCGCGTGTTTCCAAGGCGTTTAACTAGGTGTATACATATGCGTGTGTGTGTGTGTGCGCCTATCTTAGAGCATTTTACATGCACGTTTCTCGAGATCGTTGTGGGAGAAGATTGGCTGGAAAAAAACTGGGACATGTTGCATAATACTTTAGTTAATTACTCGTATAAATATAACATTAACAAATAATTCTCATACGATATTTGCCACGTAATAGTGTAACATTTCACGTATATTTCGTATGAAAATGTTGTCGTGATACATATTTAGTTTACGCCCCAGATTAAAGTTTGCACTCTCAGTAAGACACGTTACACGTTTCAACAGACTCTTCGGATTCCTTGTTCAACGCTATTTGCTGTGCGTCTATTATTTTCTTCTCTTACAGTTTATGTTACTGTATGTGTACATGCTATAAATGTAAAGACATAAATATATACAACGTATACTACATCGGTAGTAGATGAGTGTGTTTAACGCCATTTATCTCTGTCGCAACACGTGTCTCCCTCCGAATAACTGTCAGGGCTCATATGTACTAATTTTTAAAATTGATACAGAAGTTTCAAGTTTGTTTCGCACTCGCGTCCAGTTTAATTTTATCGATTTCTTAATGCCAGACCTACTAATCCCTCGTATGCGATTAATTATATTAATTAATTACGGCAATACAACAAAAATAGATAAATAAGTACGTAATATCTATGTAAGCATATCTTTATCTTAATAAAAGTAAACATTAGCATTATCAAGAAACACCTGTACCTATTTAATAATTGCCAGGACGATAGATCCGACACCAGTTGTTTTTACTGATTTCTTAGTCTCGGTGTTAGACAAAGATAAAACTGAAATATAAAGACTAAATAAATAAATACATACGTACGCATAGACTGAAAATACGTACCGATTTGCATCGAAATAGTCGTATGCAATACACGTACACAGCGAACCAGTTGAACGCTCATTTCCATGCCTAATTATCGACAAGGTGTAATTGACAAGGTATAATTCAGCAAATGAGACAGAAATGGAGATTAGTTGATGCAGTATGAAACAGATAAAAGAGCAACACATTGCAATCGTGTAATTTTCCCATTTAGGATCTTTTGTGTTCGAAGGCACGCTGTGTTCTGTTTGTTTCACGAAACAATGCGATCGTTGTACACGCTGGAGCCCGGAGCTTGATTCATGGTAATTTATTACCAGGAAGTCGTACGAGCCGTCGTTCTTACATGGTAGAATAGAACAAGTCAGTACGCTTTCTAGCAAAACGCCTGACACGACACGCGGAAATCGATATGCGTGCACCTACAGTTGCGACTCATCGCGTGATTCACGAAATTAGGGGAATTGTTATCGAACCGGCGACATTCACGCGCTCCGTGCTATGTGAAAATTAAGTTTGGCCAGAGTTTTGAAAGAAAAGAGCCGTACAATATGTTAATAAAGATGTCGAAATTTTATCTGTCAATGCAGGAGGAAGTGCGTGGAGGGAAATATGGTAAATATACCGATAACGTTTATGGGAACGCATAAAATTGGAATTGATCTCGCTGTTACATCTGAATTGGTAGCTGCTACACCAGACTTTTACAAGCCTTGAATTTTAAGTGTTCTACTTGATTAAGGTCAGGCATGTAAAAATGGTATGTAAATGGCGGTATTAGGCGTACAAAACCGGTGCTAATAACGCAGACGTTTTCAAGGATGTTGATAATTTAAACGACAGTTTCGCATTTTTTTTACAAACATATTGTCGTTCAGAATGGGACGCGTTATTGGTCGAAAACACTTCCAGATATTTTTGTATATTATCGATAGTTCGTTAGCGGGGTGTTCCTGTTAATAAATATTTCTTGAACGTCGAAAAACAGCTTTCCGAATGTGTGACCGAGGGGATTTTCCGAAGAATGAAATTTGAAATTTCCATTCGAGGAAGATCCTTATCGAGGATGAAAATTCGGAATAATTTGAACTTTGCATAATCGCATAAACGAATAGTTGTGCACGATTTAAGGCATAGGTAAAATTGAAACTATTTTGCTGGTTTTTGATGGATGGCTCGTAGGTTGAACTTCAAGGTTGAAATACATTTTTCTAATCAATGATGTAATTCATTTAATATGGATTCCCAAGTACGACTAGTGTTCTAATCTACACAGCTCGTAGGTGAGCAAATACCTTCTTTTTGACGTGTGGTAACATCGGAAAGGGAGAGAAACATGTGCAAAATCATATAATTGAAGTTCTAGATTTACAACTTTTAGATTTCTCTTGAAATAGAAAGAGTCGGCTACGCCATGGAAACAGTCTATTTTTGTTTAATTTCAATTTGCAAAATACGTTACATTCGATGATTAGAAAATTCGTATAGGATCTTAAGCAATTTTTTTCCTTTTTTTTTGTCGATGACTAGGCACGGTCCGAGGAGCATCTGGCGCAAGAACAAGCATGGCTGAGTTCCGAAAGAATTTGGTTATTACATCGAGGTGGTTTTACCCCTGCGACGAAATGTGGTCCAGCAGATCCGGACACAGGAAAGCTAAGAATTCGTTTAACCACTTCTGGCGAGGAACTTCTCGTCGATGAAGAGGACGTTGAAAAGGTATTCGTTTGATTAAATTTATTTGACATTGAATATCAATTTTCATAATGTTAAAGTATTTAAATTCTAAGTATCTAAAACACTTGAAGTATAAGGAATTATATTCTATGTTTTCAATTTAATCTTTCATATAGAATCTTCCCGATTATACTCCTCCCGATTGCACCACCAATTACGGTAATTAAAAAAAAAAAAAAAAGAGAAAGAAATGAAAAGTTATTACTAGACTATGAAGTTCTATGCAAATTATTATTTTCATGTGCAAAATTAAAGAAATGCGATTTAAACAGAGGTTTGTTTTTTAATAATAATATAATAAATACCTTGAATATTTTATACATTTTTACAAGCGTATATTTCCCATAAATGCATAAACATCCGTAGTCTAGTTATTACGATGATTCGTAACACACAGACGCAGTTCTCTAACAAGTAGGTTAAATCAAACTAATCATTTATTCCTTTTCTTCGCAGGCCAACCCTCCTCAGTTTGACAAGGCCGAGGAACTCTCGCAATTACGTTTTCTCAATGAATCTTCTGTTCTCCACACACTGAGACAACGTTATGCCAGTAATTTAATACACACGTATGCGGGAGATAGCATGATCATTATCAATCCGGTGGCGCCATTAGCGATTTACTCTGAAAAGGCAAGAGACGTTTACGCATTCCTTTATTTCTTTTTACCATTTTTCTTTTTTTTTTTTCTTATGAAAGAGGAATAAATTGAACATTCTTGCTTTTAGTCTTTAATGGAATTTGTAATTAAAATTTATTAGTAGTTTGAAACCATCCTTCTTTTCAAATGAGATAAAAATCTTACTTTCAATTTATTCAGAGAATGAAGACGTTACAAACCACACAGATTTTGCTAAACTACGTTGCTTATTTTTTCCTCTTTTTTTTTCTTTCTTACTTTCCAGGTAGCACATATGTTTAGAGGATGCAAAAGCGAGGATATGCCACCTCATATCTATGCGATGGCGCAAGCAGCTTACAGAGGGATGTTAGCCACTCGAAGGGATCATTCCTTAGTGTTTCTTGGCCGTAGCGGATCTGGAAAAACGACAAATTTTAAACATGCTCTCCATTATCTTGTATTGGCTGCAGGCACAGTTAACAAGGTGAGTGAAAATTTATAGAATTTGATAATATTATCAGCTTAGCTTTATAATAAAAATTCAGGAAAATTAAGATAAATAGGAATTCCTATTTTTTTGTTTTCAATTATTGCAGATTTTACAAATCATTCCATCTTTTAAAATCTGTCTATTCTGATTAATGTTAAAGATTTTGACCATTGAGAAACTCAACGCCCTATTCACAGTTTTGGAGGCATTTGGAAACAGCAGAACACACATGAATTCCAATGCAACACGTTTTACACAGCTCTTCAGTTTGGACTTTGATCAATCGGGCCAAATAGCATCGGCTTCTTTACAGGTAATACAATTATGCGTTATCGGATAATCGTTTTGTTCAACTACATGTTATTTCATGAAGTGTAAATCAATTAATAATTTATATTTACCATTGATGTATAACATTATTTAACTCATTTTTATTTATAGTATATTTTCTAAAAGTCAAAATATAAATTACACGAGAGGTAGAGAATTCTCTTACTGTGGTAGTGCTATGGCTTCGGGGTGTAACGCCCTCGATAAAGGGCACAATCGATCCAATGAACACACCCTCGAAAGTGGAGCATATCAAAAGAGCTTGAATTATAATTTGAAGATAAAAAACTATATTCAAAGCGAGTTTACGTTTTTGATCTTTATTGAAATGTTACAAAATGTTCTTGTTGTACAAAATATATATATACATATATGTACCTAATATAATTATTTACTTTAACTATGCCATAATTTTGTAAAAATATCCAAGATATATTGACCTGATTTTTATTTTGTTCGCAAGGTCCTACTTTTAGAAAAGTCGAGGATAGGCAGAAGAGCGAATGGAGACCCAACTTTCCATGCAATTTACCGTTTACTGGCAGGCGCAGAGGGTGCTCTTAGAAAGGAATTGCACCTGACCAATCTAGTCGCAGAGAACAATGTGTTCATTACACCTTTGCAGAAGCACGAGGACAAACAGCGTGCCATGGTGGAGTTTAATCGAATCGTGGCCGCTTTCAGGATTCTCGGCGTTTCTGAGTCCGACGAGAAAGTCATTTGGCTAGTCCTTGCTGGCATATATCACCTGAGCTGTGCTGGTGCGGTTAAGGCTGGTACCAGTTCGCAAAGTCGATGGCAGTTTGCAAGAGTGGAATGTGCAGAGAAGGCTGCAACGTTATTGGGTACTACCGTTGAGGAATTGAGTAGAATAGTGTTTTCTTCTAATGGAGGCGGTGCTGGTACACCGAGTACTCCGAGGCCTGCTTTACGTACACCAAGTCCTACCGAACAAAGCAAAGATATCATGGGATTAGATGCTCTGGAAGGTCTTTTGATTGGACTTTATTCCGAAGTGTTCCATTGCGTAGCTGCTCTCATCAATAGGTTTGTTCTTTTTTGTGAGTAAACAGGGATAGAATGAGAGTAATGATGATAATGTCGTTCTTTATTTTTTCACAGATCCATATCATCATCCGTGCACACAGTGTCTTCTTTGTTGTTGTGTGACTCGCCAGGTTTTCAGAATCCAGCCTCTTGTGGACGACAAACGGGAGCCTGTTTCGAAGACCTGTGTCACAATTACTTGCAGGAAAGGCTGCAACTGTTGTTTCATCATACGACACTGGTGGCACCAAAGGACAGGTACATTGTAATCTAATTAATTAAGTTTATATATATATATATAATAATAATAATAATAATATATATATAATATATAATAATAATTAATCACTATATATATATATATATAACAATAATTAATCAACAACAATATTAATATAACAATATTAATATAACAATAATATATATATATATATATATATATATATATAGTGATTAATTATTGTTTTGGATCAGATACTGTAGAATGAATATAACTTTATTCAAAATAGTTTCATATAATTATCTCAATAATGCAGGACGCAATAAACAGATCATTCTTACGTTTAAATACAAAATATTCTTTATTTTGAATTCAAAGGTCGATACATATCGATATTCGATAATCGATATTGTCATTCGATATCGATAATCGATTAAGGCAGGTTGTTCATATTTTCTATCTCTTACTAGTTGTCCTAAATTTAAGTAAAAGCAACGTTCCTCATGAAATATTTCAATTTTATCTTAAAATATCGAAAGAAATGGAAGATGAATCGATTGATGAATGTTTCAAACCAGTTTGTTGTTACGAAGATAGCGTGTGCTATAACTTATTTTTGGTAATGATTTTTCGAATATAATTCGATAATTTTGGAACAGATGATAATAAAAAATAAAGGAATAATGCATAGATCAAATGAAATAAAAATTTTACCACAAAGAATTTGAATCGAAGAAAATTCCATAATGAAATAAATGAAATAAAACTTAAAAATCTTTGATATAGATATGTTTTGCATATTACCATTGAACTCATTCGTGTAATTCAGGTACGTCCAAGAAGGAATTGACGTAGATTACGAAGATGACTGCGACGAAGATGGAATTGGATCACCTCAGGGTTTAATTTCGCTACTAGATCGTGGAAGTTCGCAAGGTGCAACGATGTTGCGAACTAGCCAAAGTGACCTTAGTGGAAGTAGACAAATAGAACGAAAGGGTCTTCTGTGGCTGTTAGAGGAAGAAACAGTATGTCCTGGCGGCAGCGACGAGACATTTTTAGATCGATTGTTTTCTCATTATGGAGATAGAGGTACTTAAATACGTTTGGTTTTTTTTTACAAATTATGATGAATTATAATTTCTTTTTATGTTATTGTACCAAAACTCCATATTATTTTTCATTTTCCGAATTAATTTTTATTATACATTTCAGAAAATTATGAAAAATTGATTGCATTGGAAATACATATGCTAGGTTATCGTAGTTAATAAAAATAGAAAAAGATTTTCTTTTTCATAATGATATAGCGTTTATTATTCGATACAGTGATATAATATATGATCATTTTGTACATTGCAATACTTACTTATCTTTTTAATTCTGTTCTTCTAAAACAGATCATCAATTATTGTTAAGAAAAGCACCTGGGAACAATCAGTTCGTCTTACAACATTTATTGGGTACCAATCCTGTACTTTACACAGCAACAGGATGGCTGAAAGCAACACGGGAGAATCCTGTTACTAAAAGTGCCATTACAATACTTCAAGAAAGTACAAGGTATGTAATTTAAATGTTTTTATTTTTCTAATTGTGTACAAACCTTACAATTCTATTAAAATCTTGATCTTATTTCTCCTTATCTTAAAACTTTCCTTATGTTTCTAAGATAATATTTTATTAAAACATGTTTTGAACTAAAACGTTTATACATTATTCAGTATAATTTTGTTTAAAATAATCAATAAATTTTTATTAACTAAAATTTCTTGTTGCCACTAACTAATATTACATTTTATATTGATATCAGGGAAGATGTGAATATGCTGTTTGTTAGTGCACGTGGAGCAGGAGTATCTGGAGCTTTATGCAGTTCCATGCCTGGTTTGGAAGGTTCACAATCTTTGAGAAGAGCTTCTAGTATACGGCGAACATTCACTACTGTTAAAAGGAAAAATATATCTCTTCAGGTTAAATTCACTGTTGTAAGTATAAAAGTCATAAGACTAATATTCTTATCTACTAATCAGAAATAAATATTCTATGAATAATTGAGTTCTGGATAACTACATATTTATCTGGGAATATTATGATTTTCATGAGTGTATACGAACATGAAAGATAAGGTCATATGTCATGTTACATATTATGTTATCTTCAAACGATGACTCAGTTGATATAAGTTTACTACTAACTTCATAAACGAGATATGTAATGAAGCTGAAAATGTTTACTGAATTAAGATGCACATTGTTATGGTACCATTTCCTGTTTTTGTTTTTTGCTTTTATTATCAGTTTACGTGTGAAAAAGGCAAGATGCAATAACTAGTTCTCTTCTAAATTAATCATAATTTTTTATTTGACATTAATGAAGATATGATGTAATTTGTTACAGGATGGACTGATTGAAACTTTGCGGAGAACACGAGTTAAATTTGTCCATTGTATACTACCGCAACACAATGCTGGATGTACCGATAATAAAAGTTTATTGTCAGTAAAATCAAATCAAAGCGAAGACAGTGTTATTAACGTACCGCTTCTACGATCACAGGTAAAAATTCTGTTGCACAAATGTATAATATGAAAAATTTAATTAACACGATCCATGTAATGTTTTTACTTAAATTTTTAACAATTTTACCCATTTACAACTTTTAAATTGTATTTAATGCAAAAATTAAACAGATTAGTAATACAATAATAGCAGGAGAAATTTTGACAACAGTTATACAAATATATGTATATTAATTTTATCTAGTGCAATAAATTATATCTTCTAGAATATTAGTTTCAATCTTTGATTAAAATACTAAAAAAATATTTCAATTTTTGTTATAGATTCGTGGAAGCCAAATAATTGATGCAGTTAGATTGCATAAAGTGGGATTCCCTAAGCATATAGCTTTAGGTGAATTTAGAAGACGATTCAGTTTATTGTCAAGTGATGTAAACACACGACCAGGCAGTCCTGTAGCTGATGAACGCCGTGCTGTGGAAGATATGATGCTTACCATCGACGTCGATCCAGCTTTGTATCGTGTTGGACAAAGCCAGGTAAGTCATATCTACTATTTTGCATTTTTCTCTATACTAAGGAGTAGTATGGTTCCAAAAAATGTGAAATCCCTAAAGGGGATATCTACAAAATACTATTTTGTCTGTATTGTTTTTTAAACAAGTATATGTATTTGGTATGTACTAGAAATTTGTAGATGTAAAAGATATGTCTAGAGAGCATTATTTAATTTTCTATCATTTTCATAATGTGTTACAAACTGAATGAATATGAAAACATATGTTTACCTATGAAGGGCTAATTTTTTAGCCAAAAATTCCAGTATTACGGCATCTTCTATAAAACTTTACATTTATGTATATATCTCATTCATATCTCAAAACTATGCACAACTTTCCATTTCATCTTTTTTAACTTTCAATTTATATGCTACTGTACTTCAGCAAGGATCGAATGTCTAGTATCATATCTTTCACTCTAGTAGAAGCACTTTCACTTTTTTCCGTACAGGTAGTAGTGCTTTTACTTGATGTTCTGGTTATCAAAACAAACAAAATGGAAAGGCATATCGATAGTGTTATCCTAACTTGTAATACCGGTCTCAAATATCACCATCAGGCGACATAGATACTTGAATTAATACCACCTTTGCTCATAAGTATTCGAAGTGCTTCCGCAATTCGATTCACCGTAGGTGGTTTGTTCCAGTGTGAGAATTTTGGTAACGTCACATACTTGAAACGAACATTCGTTTTCTCAAGGAGAATCGCTTTACGTGATTTCGGTCAACTTTCTCCACGAATTCGATTATGGTTTCGTCAGTACACCACGGACAGAGAATCGGTATCGATGTGAATTCACTGATTAAAACGATCTTCACCGTTTGGTTAAATGGATTTTTATTCTAGTAGCTCGTCTAATTAAGTATATAATATTAATGATTTAAATATAGCTACGGTAATACTAAAAGTTTTTTAACTCTATGATTTGAGTAACACTTGATATTTTATCTCAATTGTGATACGAAAATTTGCAAAGATATTATAAGTACTAGAAGTCATATAATCTTATAGAAAAGAGAAAATAATAATAATAATAATCTTCAATAATTGTTTCAGATGAATTTCTATTTAAAACGACTCGAACAGTTTTTCTGTTATATCAGAATGATCAGACTGGTGCATGTAACTGCAACTGAAATGAAAATTCTTGCCACATTCTGCATATTTATGTAGAGTAACGTTTCGTAACGTAACTTAGGAAGCAAATTACGTGAACGTGGTCTGTTTTCTTTTTGTGCACAAGCATTTTAATTTGGTGATTCCATGGAATCGTAATCGTGACAAGATCTTATTTATAAATGTCATGCGAAGTTGCACACGCGTTAGGTGCAATCGCGTGTCTTTATTGGCACTTTTTACTATAGAATGGCGAAGTGACATTAAAATTACTAGATCCAAGCTATACTTACGTTAGGGATGGCCATTTAATGTGTTTTCTACTGGAAAATTATTAGTATGTTGTTACTTTTTAATGCGTGAAAGTAACGTTTCGATTATAGATGCGGTTTGTACCTCGTAATGTGTGTTTTATTATTTTTTTTTTTTTAATTCAGACCTCTGTTTTATGTGAAATTTTTTTAGAACGTCAATGTGGTTTTCAGATACATTGAAGACAATTCACACCTTTCCTTCCCTTTAACGAATATATGTAAATATTTAACAGGGAAATTCACATTAGAAATGTATATTGCAATGAAATTATTATTTAAAGTCATCTCTTATTCGTTGCTAACGATCAAGTATAATTTCTCTGCAATATAACAATTCTCGGTGCTGTAAAATAATTAAATACTCTGAAATAGATACCTGAATAGATTTCAACGAATTTATGCAAAATTTGCACGTTGTATTCAGTGAAAATTACGCCAAATTCAAAAGACCTTAGCGTCATATTTATAATACTAGTATGTAGTTCAAGAAATTATAACGGGGTTAATTATAATTTGTAGGTTCCAAGATTAACAAATGCATAATTTCTCTCCATAGCAACTATGAAAATTTCTACTTCGGGATATTCACATTATTTATCAGTTTCAGTTCCTCGATTAAATTTTCAAATATTTCTCAGTAGCTGCAAACTGACGCTGCGAAGTGCACCAACGTGGCTCATTTGCTGCCAACTCTAATCATCGATTATCGTTGCAAGGTTAATTCCCGAAGCCGAAAAGAAGATCATTTAACCGCGAAAGTGCAAAAGGGTCGAATAACCGTGGAAAAAAAAGCGACACGCGCTAGTGACTTTCTCGTGGCCCATATAGAAATCGTTGCACTCTTCGGAACCTCTCCTTGTTCGCAGAACTCGCGTTGCCCGAGGCCTTTTCGTCGCGAAAGTGTTCCACCTTGCACGTACACCTCTTCTTTTCTTTTTTATCGGGCCCGTCTGTTTTACTTCAAGACTAAGCGCGTGGTCCAATTTGTTCTCCGCAACAGATTCGAGCCAACGAATTAAGGAACACGGAAGTCGAGAGGAGCACGACGTCATCGCGATATTCTAGATAACGACGAGTAATCGAACCCTTTTATTTCTCGTCCAACAGACGAGAACAATGGTGTTGGTTTTGCAATTACGCTTTAGATAGAACAGATAACGTACACGGTACGGTTTTTTTAAAAAGAGTTTGAAAAATCCGAAGTAATTAAGTGTTCGTTCAAGCGTGAATTGTTTAACCAGAAAAAAAAACTTTTGAAACTTGGAAAGTCGGTCGAGGTTACTTGGATAATTTAGATATACATGACATGTTAATTATCGTAATCAGTGTATGTCAAAGAAGATAATAGATATTAATTATCGTAACGAAATGTCAACAGAGAAGATTATCGAGAACTTCTTGCACACCATCTTTAATCTTCCATATATCTTATTTATAAACTTTTCTTTTTGCGATAATTCATTATTACCGTGTACATACGTACTTTACCACCATAAATACATCATTTATCAAGAATACTAGAGTACCTGCTGGTATTTCTAATAATACAAATGGAATACTTTTAGTTGTACTTAATTTCTAGTTATTCTGTGCTGCATCGTATCTTTTAATCTCGAATATGCTGAAAAGTTATATTAGTAAGCTTTACTGTATATTATCACGACTGGTGTCGCATTTTTAAGTAACGTAACCATGATAGGGTTTCCTGTTGCTTCATTAATGTAGCTGTATGTGTTGATATTAAATATGTCAGTAAATGGATGTGTGTGGATGAACACCAATTGGAGACAGTTAAACTACTTGAATGTACAAGTAGAAACGGTTCTCAATAGAATAAATTTAGAAAGTATATCATAAATATCGCATAATGCAACGGAAGTACAGTTAAACTGGCTTTTCCAATACGGGTACCGCGTATGAAACTTTCGGTATAAATAGAAAATGAAGAATTTGTAGTACATCGATATTCCAACTTTTATGGAAGCAAGCAAAAATAAAAAGATATTAGAATTTTCGAAATAAAAGAAAAATAGTAGGTTTATCACATACACTTTGCCATTATGTTGCTGTGTTTTGTGTACCGTATCGCGGATAAATGGACAAAATCATGTAACCTCGTTTTATACAATACATAATTATGTAGTAAGTTATCCAAGACGGTTATGTTAAGTGCGTTACCCTACAAAATATTAACCGGATGAAAGAAGTGGAACGCATGGCCCGCAGTTATGAAAATACAATCGATAACGAGTATACAAAAGCTGTTGGAATAGTATCGCTTCTGTTTAAACGCTCAGCTAGGAATCTCCACTCCCGAAATATCCGGACTAAGGTTTCCACGGCGGAAATGTGACCGTTGATCGTGTGTGCCTGCGATTCGTGCGTGTCTAGCATCGCAAATAATTCTCTGTTCGATTCCACCAGTCGATAGCTTGCACCACGAATAGATGCGTGGACTGATTCGTTAGAAATTAATATCGGTATCAACGATGACTTCAATATCGCCGCTAACTCCCGTTATCGCGTCTCGCACTCAAATGTTTCTTAATTTCTTATTTCATCAGGGCAACCTACGATCGAAATCAAAGTATTAAAGTAACACGTTCTTCTCTTTATTGGCAACATTTTATTTAAATTTCTGTTTTAGAAATTAATGTTCATTGCCAAATAAATGAATCGTTTCGATATTTTAAGAGAAAGACAGAGAAAATTTGTTGAACGTACTGGATATAGGAATTATTATAGAAAAGTATAATGCTTATGTAAAGATTTGGTCAACAAATTTTTACCCATTCTTCGAACTTTATTCTAACGTGTATTTGATTTCTGTAGCGCTATTAGTAGAGTACTCATTGTCAGTCGTTGAGTAAGTCGGTTTTCCGCGTGGTGCTAATGCCTGTTGCGCGTTCGGAAATCCACCACAGCTTGGTAATAGAGAAACGCGACGAGTTTTAATTTAACTGGCTAACAGGCTAGGTCAGGTTCGCACGACAAACGCGGTAACTTGCCAGATCGTGATCGAGATCACGAAATCATTAGCATTACTCCGTATTAATTGCTGTCAGCTATCATGTAGGTATAGGAGAAACAGCTGTAAAATCTACGTGCGTAATCCGTATCTATGTTTGTCCTAATTTTTCTTTCGTGCAAAATTGCAGCTTTCTAAGCTTTACAACTACTTTATGCTGTTATAACTTTATATTCAGTGCTTTTGCGAACAAAACTCGATTCTAAAGCATTGACGTGCTGAAAGATTAGAAACTTCCGTTTTATTTTGTGTTTCTTTTGATTTACTGATTCTTATTGCTACTGGATCTGGAATTTTTTACGTTTCTTATACTTATTTAGCTAAAAGTAGCCTACTGAAATTTTAGCTCGTGAAGTAATCTCAAGTTCTGGTAAATTAACTATAAATAGAGAAAGGATATAATTTTAAGGAGTAATTAAGTTATCAAAAATATGAAATTCTTGTCTCTAATTTTATGTGAACAACTTTTACGTCTTGTTGTGTACAAAATAGTAGTTTGAGAAATACTTCCTCATAGA